TAGATAGGGAGTGAAAGAAATATAAACATAGTAAAAGAGAGATAGAGATATACAAAAAATTAAGAGAGAGAGAGAGAGAGTGACCGCGATAGAAAAAGTAAGAGAAAAAGAGCGAAAGAGTAAGAGAAAGAAATAAATAGAGAAAGCAATAGCGAAACTATAGAGAGACAGAAAAACAAAAGCAGAGAAAGACAAATAGATCAAGAGAGAGAGAGAGAGAGAGAGAGAGAGAGAGAGAGAGAGAGAGAGTGAGAGAGAGAGAGAGAGCGAGTGAGAGAGAGAAATTGAGACGAAAAAGAGCTTTATTCCCTCTAAGCCACGTTTATGACGGCTTCCGAACAACACAACAGACAGCGAACACATTCCTCATTACAAACTGAGATAGAGATAGACAGACAAAGAACAAGTTAGAGCTTCAATGTCAACGAGTCTCGTAGTATTAGACTCGCTGACACTTTGTGACCTGCCAGTTGCCCATCAAACTGTAATCGATAACGATTTTGAGGCCACAGCTAAAAACAGAAACCTCAAATGGGATGACATCTAGACCCTCGACAAGGCCGATAACTCTGTTCGCTTCGATGATCGCACGTCAAGTGAAAAGCAGCGAGCTAGATGCTTATCTATTATTGAAATAAATTAAGAGCTCACATTAAATAAAATTAAATAAAAAGAAGACGAGTAAATAGAAGATTACTACCAAGGATCGAGCAGCCTCATGACATTTGCTCACATATTTTTTTCTAATCTAATTAGCTTTTATAACGCAAATCAAGGCTAGAAGCCGATTGCCAAACCGAATTCAGTATTCTATTTTTATTATTTTTCAATTGACCTGGAAATTATTTGTGTTGTATGTTGAATGTGTTGAATGAACTTAATCAACTTGAGTTTTTCATGCCCCAGTGCTACTTCGATGGGGCTGAAAACTAGGTGAATATTATGGCACCTTTTTGGCACCTGCTGAAAGCCATGGGCCACTAATTGTCTCACATCATAAGGCTGGCCATAATTACAATGCGCGTTGAGTCGCTTATCGCACTTATATAGCTTCATTAGCTAATGGCTAATGAAGTTGATTATGCGAGCAGCTCGATGGTTGTTTTGGTCTTGTGCTTGTGCTTGGCAGCGAACAAACCAATTAAAATATAGATCATGCCACAAGAAACAGAAACGGACAGCAGCGACGAGTAAGGCGACCAGGCAACGGCTCAACGCAAACCGTTAACACAACTTTGGCCCCCAGAGAACTCGAACGCAGTTCGTGGAAGGCATTTAGCACAACGAGTCCAAGCAGATGGAGAGGCTGTTGCCAACGCTATCAGCAGCAAAGATCTTGGCAAGCAAAGCGCAGAACAAGCCATAAACGCAAGGCACGAGAACCGAGTGTCGAGTGCCAAGAGCCGAGAGTCGAGAGCCGATAATATAGCGCTTCTTTCTTGCCTGCTTGTTGTGGCCAAGCAGCCAACTGGCAGATACTCCGGTTACCTAGGAGGTGTTAAATGTAGCCACAGTAGCAGCAAACAGCTGCCGTCTTTGTGTATCTTTCAGATACTCGAGGCTTGTTTGCCGCAAAAGCTGCTCGTTGCTCGCTGCTCGATGCTTAAACTTATAATACTTATGCAAATCGCATTTATTGGATATTGGAAATTGGCCAAAAGAGCGCACAAAACAGGGCTCTAAGCAGATAGTTTTTGAAGCCATGTCTCGTTTAAGAAGCAGGCAAGGGAGCGTCAGCTTAATTTATTTAACACAGTTGGTGGCAAATTTAACACATTCGTGTTATTGTTATCTTTTGTGCTGCTGATTCGCAAAAGATTTCAGCTTATTGTGGATCATTGATGTTGCTGTTGTTGTGGTTGTCATGCCTGTTTAGCAGCTACTTCCATCGATCATTGAGCTAAGTCAACCTGTGGGCGTGTCGCTATTAGCACCAGCAACAAAAGATCGTGTAACGCATAGTTAAGAATCAGTTAGACTGAACTGTTCTTGCAAATGAACTACAAAACTGATTCCGTGCTCAGTGAAAGAAATAAATTAAATGAATTTGTGAAAAGAATTATTGACGTAATTCGCGTTTCTTCAACAAACGATTGAACTAGTTCATAAATTGAAGTAGAACTTTCAATTAAAAAATATAAAGAGAAAGAGAAAAGGAAAGGGAGAGGACAGAGAAAGAATCAGTCTCTTTCTCTAAGCGAGAAATAGAAAATGAGAGATGAGTTAGAGAGAGGGAGAGAAACGAAGAGAGAGAGGGAGAGAGAGAGAGAGAAAGAAAGAGAAAAAGAAAGAAAGAAAGAAACAGAAAGACAGAAAGAAAAAGAAAGTGAGAAAGAGATAAACATGGAGAAGTAGATAGAGAAAAAGATAAATATGGAGAAAGACAGAGAGAGGTGAAGATTTAAAGAGAGAGAGAGAGAAAAATAGAGAAAAAGAGAGAGAAAGTATGAGAGTCAGAGAGAAAGAGATTAACATGGAGAAAGAGAGGCAGAAAGTTATGAAGATGGAGAAATAGATAGAGAAAAAGAGAGACAGAAAGAGGTGAAGATTAAGAGAAAGAAAGAGTGTGAGAAAGAAGTGAAGATCGAGAAAAAGAGAACGAGAAAGAGGTAAAGAGAGAGATGCGATTAAAAAGCTTCCTATCTGCAAAGCTTGACATACAATGAACTTTTCAATGCGGCTTCATTAACATGCATTGTAAGCTCTAAACTCTATGATTAACAAACACACACAACTGCAAATGGGCCATAAAATTAAAGCAAAGCACCCAAAAAATTAACACCGAACAATGGGCACATAAAAATCATTTGAGATAGACAAAGAAAATTCCGAAGCGTTAAAGTCGTAAAACAAAAAAGTTGTCAATAGGAAAAACTACGAAAATTGTCGAAAATGTCCAAAATAAAATGGCATTAAAATTCAATTTAAATAAAATGCCCCGGCAAAAGGCCTTTTAAAATGTAGCGCGTGTCACAGCAGCAAAGCAAAACACATAAAACTTATTTGGGGAGTTGTGGGCAGGGAAATAAAAATATTTTCCAACTGACAACCAGCCCGATCGATCGGATCGTGTATACCCTGCCCAGCTCTGGCTGATTATATTTCATATGCCCGTTTTTTATGACTAAAGGCTTAAAAAATGAAACCGAAGCAACGGTCGACTCCCTGTGGGGATGAGTTGCTGCTCTCCCGTTGTTTAAACATAAAAAATGCAGTGGAGAAATAAAAAAATTCAAAATTTTAATTTTAAAAATGTATACAAGCCTAGGATGAGCTTCAGCTGGACTTTGGCCAACGCCTTTTTGCCAAAAGCCTCACAAATCAAATGCAAATTATGCTGCCTAATTGATTTATGGCTTAGCGCTTCTCTTTATTGCACGCATATATCAAAAGAGAAGGGGGAGAAAGAGAAAGAGGACGACGGAGCGCAAGAGCGTTGGTTCAGTCTGCAAACTTTGCAGCTTAGTCTTAATTAGTCGCCCAGTTGCTTAAGTTGCAGCCAAATAGCCAAATGACTGAATGGTTGAATGTGCGTAAACGGAATGCGCTTACAGCGCCCACAGCGAACACGAGCCCACACCCAACTATTCGCCATCCAAATCCCAATCCAAATCCAAATCCAAACATACGATATTTTGCATATTTGATTTCACGCCCCAAAATTCAAAATGCATACGCAATTTATGCGCATCGTCGTTGTCGTCGACGACGGCGGCGGCAGCAGAAAAATGCAGCTCCCACACATGGCAAGTGGAAAAAAACTATCCAAACTTAACAAGCAGGCAGCATGCCAAGCAACAACAACAGCAGCAGCAACAACAGGCGAAGCACATGCAGTGGGCGGGCAGCAGTTGTTGACTTGCCAAAAATACGAGTGCCAAGCCAAGCGACATGCGTCGCACAGTGGACTCAGACGCACAAAACCAAATTTGCTATAATGTACATACGATTCGATTAATGTATAATACTAATAAACTAATATATAATGCATAATGCACTATAATACAATATCTAATATGATATATTTATATATATAATATCATATATATTGCAAATTTTGTATTCTTGTCTTTACTGTGCCTGTCGATGTATCGAGTCGTGCGCACTGTGCGTAAAAACCAATACTGGCAAACACACACATGCACAGCTGACGAAGATGCCTGTGTACTTGCTGCTTGTGCCCTCTCCTGCTTATGCTGTTCTTGCTCACCCCCTCTCTCTTTCTTTCTTCTTTCCTATACAGAGTCAAATGCGCTTGCGGCTGCTCCAAGTCACGTTTTGCCTTGCCTTTGCCTTTGCCTTTGCCTGTTTCAGCATCGTTGCAGTTGTTGTTGCTTTTGTTTGTGTTGTTGGTTCCTTTGCGTTGTCATCTCGTTTGCGTGTCTCTTGTATGCATGTATTTATATATATATATATATATGTGTGTGTGTGTTTTTTGTATTGGAATTTCAATTCCCAGAAATATTCAAAAATATTCTCCGGCAGTGAAATAAATTTAATGCTGCTTGTAAATTGTTTTTGTTGTTGTTGATGCTTCTTTTTACGAAGCGTAAAATTTCTTAACGAACCAACTGAAAGTTATGTATGTACATAGAAGAAACTGTTTTGTTGTTGTTGCTGTTGCTTTCGCATTTACTTTTGCTTGTTGTTTGTTTATTTGTTTAACTGTTTAACAACACCTGCAGCGGCATGCGTCGCAGAGCGAGAGAACGCACGAGCGCAAGAGCAAGAGAAAAAGAGAGTGAGAGAGAGAGCGGGGAGTGAGCGAGTGTCTAAAATTAAGCCAAAGCAAACAAATCAACATAATTTCGAAAAGCATTTCAGTTGCCAGTGAATGAAAAATGTTGAAAACTAAAGCTGCCGCATAATTGGTTGACACAAATGGAACTTCACTAATTGCTCAATTGCTCTGCACTATTGTTGTTATTGTTATAGTTGAGGTAGAGAAATCAATAACAAAGGGCGCGACTCAACAGTCAACTGTGCGGAGGAGAACTTACCCAGCAATCGCATCACCTCCTCTGGGTTCAGGAACACGTTCAAATGCGCTGCGACGCCGTTGCCTCCGTTGAGCTGCAGCAGCGCAGCTAGCGCAAGTAAAGCGAGCACCATTTTATTGTTATAATTTTTCATATTCAACTTGATTTCAAGGCCTTTGCTTGGCATTTTCATTCAATATATTGTAGTTTTCCACAAGTTTTTGCACATTTATCCACGCACACAAATTCGTAAACAATCGAGATAGCGAACGCGATGGCAAAGCACACGCGCAGAGAAAACAGCGAACAGCGCAGGGAAGTAACAGTGATGTCGCACATGCAGTGGAAAAGAACAAAATAGTCGACTCCTGAGTGGCTAAAACATTTTAACACTTGGCAGAGCACATTAACTAATTATTGAATACAATTTCACACGCGGCTTTTGTCTGTTTTCTCGTTTTTTTCAGCATTTACCGGCCGCAACAACCCAACAACCACACGCTTCAACAGAAAATTCATGAATAACAGGCCTGTTAATGCAAAATTTCTGAGCTAACAGCAGTAGCTACGTCAAATGTTAATTCTCGGCTAATGGACTGCTAAAACAGCTGTTTTGTCATTGGCGGGCTGTATTCAAAAACTAGTTTGACTCTTAGGCCTTACAAAACTGATGTGTATCAATATTGTATTAATTTTAAATAGTTGCAAACAAAGAAATATCAATAGTTTAGCCATCTGAGTTTTTATTTTTATAAGAACGAAACATTTAATGGTAAATATTCTGTAACAGCAACAATACAACACACTGTTATCAAGGTCGCTCAGCCTGTTGTTTTAACAGTGTGGAAGCGAATGCGAGCACAAGAGAATACCAGATAAAAATCGTATGCGCCATCTAGTGTTAAAGTTTTTCTGGCAAAATAAATAAACATGCTACGTTCTCCATAGCGTGTAGTACAGTTTTCTGAGAGTAGGGGAATGTCTGTGGATTCTGTTTAAACAAATGACACAAATATTTCAAAATGTTTATGAATTCTTAATGACAGTATTGTAAACATCGGATTTGAGATATGAGCACACACATCCCTCGCAAATCATTATTTGAAATTTCAATTTCTTTACCTAGCGTCGAGAGCACTTGCACGTTATTTATTGACTAAACGGAATTATACATAACAATGCAAATTAATCCAGTTTCATATTTGTAAATAAATAATACAAGAAAATATATTATATTTATTATCGGAATGCTTCTCATTTATGTATAAAATACTTGACTTGTTTATCACTTCAAAGCTTAATAAACAAACATGAAGCAAAAGCTTTTCAAGCAATCTTTTTTAAAATAATTAAACATCATTCTCAAAAAATTTATTATTAACAGGTTTCACAATAACAATTTTACTATTTTAAGTATTTATATTTATTTTAAGTACTATATATTTATATTTATATTTCTTTGTTGACAAATACATAATTTATGTTTTGTGTTTAAATACAAATAAACTAATATACCAAGTCACTATATTTTTATTCAAATAAATTTCCTTATTCTTCATAAACTTCAACACATTAATTTTATTAAAATTAATTTATTAAAATTACATAAACATTTTAAAATAAATCCATAAAATTCCATATATTATAAATGAACTCTATGAAATTTTATTACCTCTTTAATCTTTAATCCACAAATAAAGTATAAATCAATTTTATTTGTTTTATATAATTAATGTATTAATTTTTTTATAATTACATATAAATCAGTTCCATGCAAATTTTAAATAATCTTCAATTAAGTTGCATATTTCATAGATTAATTTGCATGTGGCTTAAATTAATTCGAATAAAATTTTATTTATCATAATAAATCTACTTAAACATTTATTCATTCATTCAATTCATTAAGAATTCTATAAGCATTTCAAAAATCCATATTGAATTTATTTCATTTGCAATAAAATTCCGTATACGTTGCGTATAACTTAATTCTAAATTATTAAATTCTCCATACTCGACGTATGTGTTTATATATATATATATATATATATATAAATTATATGATTTCCAGTCCTGTGGTGACTGAAAGTTAGGTTGAGAGGCGACTGTGCCTCTTATTGCTGGCCTCGGGCTTAGACAATGAAATAAGCCATTTAACGAGCAAATGACGGAGTGAATATTTATTTAAGCGGTTTACTGGAAGAACGCTTTTCAACCCTGCTTTGAATTGTTCTTTTTTGAATAATCGAAACAGTTAATTTTATTGGTTTTTCTTATTATATTCACTATTTTTAATTTGACTTATATGACACCAATTTTTAGCATGTCCTATCAGTACGAGTTAAAACACGAGACTGATCTATATTTTTACAAATCATAGCCTCACCGGCGTAAGTAGAGTTGCTCTTGCCAGGGCTGTTCCTTAACTTGTCTAGCACCCGATAATAAGTGTTGAATAATACCTTATATTAAGTGTTATAAGCTAACTAAGTGTTATAAGTTAACTACCCCCCCCTCAAGTGTAAGGTCGTCCTCGACCGACCCAATTCCAGCGACGACTCCTCGCAAGTGCTTCGCGGACTTCTTTGCGTCGATGATCCACCAAAGAGTGAGGCCAATGCAGATTAAAGCACAGCATATGGCTCCTCTTTCGGAGTGCCGTACAACGGCACATCATCAAAGTGCACCATTTCGGTTCCTTGGTCGCATATTAGCAGCGGTGACCAGCGAGTCGGTGCAGGTGTTCTCGAATGAAATCCGCAAGTCGTTCTCATTCACATTCAATACGGAGCAGTATGAGCAGCGTACTGATTCTTCGCTATCGCCGTTCAGCAGGCGCTTACTAAGCTTGCTCTTGCGCCTACGTATGTGGCGTCTGTTGAAGCTGTTGGTGCCCGACGTGGACGTGAGCCTTGGCATCGGATGATGCACACCAAAGTTGTGCAGCCGCAGCGACTTGAGTGTGGCTGGCGCCGTCGATGACTGGCCGTGCACGTGCCCGTGATGGCCGTGATGACTGTGTCCCACCACTCCAGCGATGCTATGAGCCGTTACTGGACGAGTGATGTGTGTAGTCTGTCGGCGCGCTCAGCTGGCGATTGAATTCGGCCTTGCGGCGCGTCAAGTCCGTCAGGCAGTATTTGTTCAGATGGCCGTTGCTGGAGACAGGGCTCTTGGGCGATGATGCCAGATGCTGCGTATAGGCCGAAGGAGTTGCTGCTCACGCTTAGCTTATTGCCGGCGTTGTGCAGCAGATTGTTACAGTTCTTGCCGCTGATCTTGGCTGCCAGCGACTGCGACACCGGCCGACTTTTTGCTAGGCGCCCTGTACTCCTTGTCGTCGCTCTCGCTGCGCACCGATGCTCGATACGCAGGAAATGTCTTCGTCTTGCTCTTCAGCGAGCCGTTCAGCAGTAGCTGCTGTTGCCGTGCGGCAACTGCCGACAATGCCGGCCGCTGCAGTTGACGTGACGCCGCTGTGAAACTTCTTGAATTAATGCAGTTGGCGGTGTTTTGGGGATTTCTTGACTTGGTTCTAGTATGGATGAAGAGTCGCTTGGCTCTGCCGCCGCGAAGAACTCGTTAGTTGTTGCTTCTACTGTTGGTGGTGGTGCCGTGAACAAGGGGATTTCCTCAACGATTCCGCTTGTAGATTTGCCTGCTGTGGTTCTGGCTTAGCATCCAACTGTGGTGCGAATAGAGCTGTTGCTGGTCCTTGTGAAAATATGGGCAAACTCTGTGATGTTGGGAATAATGGAACTTCCGAAACAGGTGCAGTTGACGGTGGTGCAAATAGTGTAACCTCCTGATTTTGATTTGAAGAGCTCTTTAGCTCTTCCCTCTGAGTCGGTGACTTAAAAAGGTTGTTGCTTGTATCTGGTGTAAGTCCTTGTGTTGCGTTAGTCGGACTGGAAAAGAGAGGAACCTCCTGAAGTGTATCGGCTAGTGCTGGTGCAAAAAGCGATGTAGTTGCTTCGTGAGTCTGAAAGAGGCCCGTCGATGCCTGTGGTGTAAACAGCGATGTTGCTGGCCCAGTTGGGGGTGGTGCAGCCGCAACAGAGGAACTTCCTGGCTTGCCGCTGGTGCAGCTGACGGAGCTGGCGCTGTAAATAGGGCAACTTCTGTAGGCTGTGCTCCAAAAGGATTAAAAATAGCAGCAGGTGCTGCGAAGGGTGCAAAGGGCGTGGCTGTTAAAGCTGTTTGCTGGCCAAAGCCTGTTGCGGGCACTGCAGTTTCCTGAGCTGTCAGTGGACTCTTGTAGAGTCTGGTACCCTTCTGCAGGCGGTACGAGGAGTGTGCAGGTCCTGCCGCTGGTGGTGGTGCTGCTACTGCCGCTGGTGGGGGAGTTGCTGCAGCCACTGATGGCGGTGCAAACGTTGGAGTACTCTCGATTAAACCAGGTGCTTGAGCAGCTGTCAGTGGCTGAGGGACAGTGGCTACTTGGGTGACTGTCGGAATCTGAGCGTATGTCGCTGGCGGAGCAGTTGCCCCAGGCTGAGTAAATGTCGGTGGTACCGCGGCTGGCGTTGGCTGAACACCGGTTGATTGCCCAGAAACAGCTGGTGCTGGCGTAAAGAAGTTACCAACAGACGGAGCTGCAGCAACTACGGAAGGATTGATGTAACCACCTACAGTGGGTGGTGCTACAGTGGGCGAAAAATAATCAGCAGCAGCAGGCGGAGCTGCAGGCGTAAAAAAGTTTGCAGGCGGCTGCGGTACGGCAGCGCCGGATGTGCTTATGTCAAAGTAGCCACCAGAATCAGCTGGATTGTAGCTGGCTGGTGGGGGTGGCGCAGGTTCGTTGGTTCTGCCTGTGGCCGATTGCACTAGACCCGAAATATTCTGTAACACGCCAGTGGGCACTAGACTAGTGAGTGAGAAGAGACCACCGCTCTTGCGTTCCTCTTGAACGGCTGGTGGTGCAGGCTGCTCGAATGCTGCTGCTGCCGCCGCTGCCGATGGCTGTGTGGGATATGGCGGTGCTTGGAAGGGATCAACAGCTGGCACTGGCTGCTGTTGCTGCTCGGAGAGACCTGGTATGGGTGCGTATAGCTTCTTTCTGGCACTAATGCGATAAGTGTTCTGTCCGGCCCCACGTTGGGCGCCAATTATATGATTTCCATTCCTGTGGTGACTGAAAGTTAGGTTGAGAGGCGACTGTGCCTCTTATTGCTGGCCTCGGGCTCAGAAAATGAAATAAGCCATTTAACGAGCAAATGACGGAGTGAATATTTATTTAAGCGGTTTACTGGAAGAACGCTTTTCAACCCTGCTTTGAATTGTTCTTTTTTGAATAATCGAAACAGTTAATTTTATTGGTTTTTCTTATTATATTCACTATTTTTAATTTGACTTATATGACACCAATTTTTAGCATGTCCTATCAGTACGAGTTAAAACACGAGACTGATCTATATTTTTACAAATCATAGCCTCACCGGCGTAAGTAGAGTTGCTCTTGCCAGGGCTGTTCCTTAACTTGTCTAGCACCCGATAATAAGTGTTGAATAATACCTTATATTAAGTGTTATAAGCTAACTAAGTGTTATAAGTTAACTTATATATATATATATATATATATATAATATATACAAAATTGAAGTTGCGACATACGTAACTGCACGACACTCGTTAACTGGCAAAGAATACCTAACACAGTAGAGTTAGTTTTGCTCGCGGGCAGACAGAGTACGAACAGCATATTGCTACCAATAGACGCAATATACTCTTTTGACCTTGTGAACGAGCATACAAAATAAACAAACACAAACTTAAAGCTTTTCAATTCAACTGATAGGAATGTGAATCTATACATTGATATATGTAAATAATTATATATATTAATATATTGAATGCCTTGCGCATGGCCTACTCATGCTTAGTATTCCGTATCGCCTCCAGTGGAAACTACGCGCGAATCGGTAACAGCGTGAACATTTGTAAACACCAAATTCTTCAGCTAGACCTGATTAGAGCGAAAAATAATGAGATACCGACAGAGATAAAGGCAAACAGGCAAATGAGATAGAGAGAGAGAGGAGACAGGCATGTTATCAGGCGAATTATGTTCTTTGTAAGCAGTTCGCAACTGTCCGGAATGACGAATAGGTGGCCATTGGGAAGACGCTTGGCGAGGCTCTGGGTGTGCATCTATTTTCTGCTTGAGCTGCAGCTGGCCTATGGAATACGCTGCAAGGTGCCCTATGAGAAGGTGGAGAATGACTACTGCTACTTCATAGCCGATGAGGAGCCGCTGGTGAGTTGCTAAAGCCAATCTTTCGCTTTCTCTTTTCCACTCAACTGACCTTGGTGGTCGCTTAGGCCAGCTCGTTCAGCAACTTTTGCTATCAAGATAAGCGAACATCGCGCGTTTGCCTGGACAGCAGCGCCGAGATGCGCGTCTTGGCCAATCATCTATATGCGAGTGGCTATCAGAATGGCACCCAGTTCTGGAGTGCGGGCCATCGCTGGCCAGGCGACTTGCAATTCTATTGGAACTACTTTGGACGCGCCCGCACCATCAACTATACCAATTGGCTAGAGGGTGAGCCCACCTCGCGCATGGGCCGCAATTGCATGCTGCTCACTCTCCAGGCTGGCGAGCTCTTCATGTCCACCGAATCCTGCTACACTCGAGCCGTTGACATATGCGAGCAGTTGCTCAGCAATGAGCCAACAGTTAAGCACTGACTAACATGCAGTGGCGGTGTTGGTAGAGCCCAATCTAATCTTAAAAAAGATATTGCCATACACCCATATAAAAAACGGACAGACATCATCAAGACAAAAACATTTTAAGACCAGCATTCGAAGCTATGAGGTGGATCCTTTTTTTTGGACTTGGCATAGTATGCCAGAGTGAATGTTTACATATCAATTTACCTGCGTACGACACTGTGGGAAACTCCAAATACTTCATAGCCGAGGGAACCAATGTAAGGCTCTCGGATAATTGAATATAACACACGATAATAATCGATTGATTCTTACAGTCTGTACAATTAGTAACTTGGTTTCGGGCAAGTGCAATCTGTCAATCAGTGTGCGGACAACTAATATCTATACAATCGGAAGAACAAATGAATGCTTTGTTGAAGTACATACTCGATCGGGGCTATAAGAATGGAACCAAATTTGTCACCTCAGGACACAACTTTCTAACTCCATCTCCGTTCAAATGGGAGGCCTTGCAGGAACCAGTTACCTACAGCAAGTGGCTGCCAGGCGATGGACCTGTCCACAGTAGCTTCTTAAGCTTACAGCTGATCAACTCAGAGCTGTTTATGGTAACATCCACGTCCTTCGATAGATACTTTATATGTGAATATGAGACAGCATACATGAAGTTACACAAAGTCTTTAAAAGTACTATGCTTTATACCAACTTCTGCTCATTTGTTCTTACATTACTAATAATATTATACTTAATAATAAGCGCATTTAGAAAAAGAACATTGTCCCCTTACAGATTTTTAAAGTGACATATATTAAAAATAATATAGCCCATTCCCGACTTGAGGAAATGATATGAGGATATGATTCTGTTATTTCTGTTAGAGTACATATTTACCTTTTGGTCACTTTTATGTAGATCATATTCAGTGAAACCCAACGCTCGTATTTCCATTTGTAAATCTAGCGAGCAGTTGTGTATTGGGTTCTATGCAGTTGTTGGAATTCTGTTTTCCTTTGAATTGTTGCACACTTTTCAGTAGGAGTTGGTTGGGCGTGGAGCTCTATAAAAGCAGTGGGGCCCTGCGACAAGCTCTGCAGTGTAGCGTGGCATGGAAAATGATGATGTTTGGCAAGTCCTGCGAACTGCTGTCACTAGTTCTGCTCATATTGGCCAGCTATGCCTGCATCTACTTGGAGTTCTGGAAACGTAAGTTTTCTCTGTCTATTGATTATGTTATTGACATTTGCTTCCCGGCTTGAGCAGCCCGTTGCATAGCACCTTTTGTGGAAATAGGCGACAACTGTTATTTTTTCTCCACCAACAAAGCTGTGCGTATACCCTGCAAATTGTCGGCTGCTCCTAACCAATTGTATCTTCCAGCCCACCTATGAGTACTATAGGGTGTCGTATAAGGGTCGCATCTTCAGTGTGCCCGCCGTGGTGAGTCGCCAGTTCCTTCTACTGTTTCCCTCTTTCATTTATTTTCATTCGTAGCTTGACTGGCTTCATGCCAGCTTCGCCTGCGAGACACTGGATCCCAATGCTCGTCTGATGACGGTCAAGTCAGCGCAGGAGATGCGATATCTCTCCTACTATATGGGTCGCTATGCACATCCCGGCACCCATCCGTACTTCTGGACCGGCGGACATCGCGGAAGTCTGGCAGATAGCGTTGTGGAACGCAGTTCTTTGAATCATTTCTACTGGCATCACGATCCGCATCCCATGAACTTCTCCAACTTCGTCGACAGGCAACCGAACTCCACCCTTCGCTTCCCTTCAGGCTACTGCGTGTACCTAGAGTATATAGGATCGGAGCTCGTTATGGCAACGGCGAGCTGTAAGCACAAAATGGCATTTGCTTGCGAGTTAATATAAATAATAAGTAAGAAATCAGATGATACCCTGTGTTTTAATAATTTCAATAGCTTCTATATAATGGCTCTAGTTCCAACTGAAGAATTTGGGGAAATTTGGAGCTGATATCCAAAATCCATCAAAAATCAAAATTGCATAAAATATACATAAAACTAAATACAAAATTTGGAGGCTCTAGCTCTTTAGACATTTGCACAAACAAAACATTATATATTGATTTCACATTTTCAATGCGATTAGTGCATAAAAATACTGCATGACTTCTTTGCCCTCGAGATTATCAGGTAATCAATAATCATAATAAAAAAAAATTTCCTGTTATCAGTCTTGTTATGATTACTTATATACTTCACATTTTTACTGCATTTCAATAAAGTTTTTATTCGATAACAATTTAAGGCGAATAGTTATCGAATATTTGAAACAAACTTGACCTGCGCGTGCTATACACGGACCTACAAAAAAATTTTAAGTCTCTTGCTCTTATAGATGCTGAGATCCATGCGTTCACACATACGGACGGATGGACAGACGGACAGACGGACGGACAGACAGACGGACAGGGCTCAATCGACTCGGCTTGTCGTCCTGACATTTGCACAAAACCATTATACCCTGATTTCCCATTTTTAATGGGATCAGGGTATAAAAAGATAAACAAATAAAAACCGACATTACTACGACGTAGCGTGAGTAATATTTATAGCAGTATTTAATCGCAATTTCGATTATTGGAATAGAAACGATTACTGTGCACACGCGCAGAAAACATGAGTGCGCGTGGCGCTGCTGACATGTGCTTTTGCAAATTGGCCAAACGTTTTGTTTAATAACTTCTGTTTTACTTAATGGATTTTAATGAAATTTTCAGCATATGATCTACATATCCTATTGGCTTGGTTGAGATGCAAATGCCTTCACATAATGGCCCTAGTTCCAACTAAACTTAAATTCTAAGAATTTGGGGAAATTTGGAGCCGGTATCCAAAATCCAACAAAAATCAAAATTGCATAAAATATACATAAGACTAAATACAAAATTTGGAGGCTCTAGCTCTTAAGACGTTCGAGATATAATTTATTTACTGCATTTCAATCAAGTTTTTATTCGATAACAATTAAATGCGATAGTTATCGAATATTTGAAACAAACTTGACCTGCGCGTGCTATACACGGAATTACAAAAAAATTACAAGTCTCTTGCTCTTATAGATGCTGAGATCCACGCGTTCACACATACGGACAGACGGACAGACGGACGGACAGACAGACGGACAGGGCTCAATCGACTCGGCTTGTCGTCCTGATCAAGAATATATATACTTTATGGGGTCTGCCATGCCTCCTTCTGCCTGTTACATACATTTGCACAAAACCATTATACCCTGATTTCCCATTTTCAATGGGATCAGGGTATAAAAGGTGCTGATTATGATATACACGAGTATTCATCTGACGTCATCTGACGTCAGCAGATTAGATGAGTTGGGCAGTCTGTATGATATATTATATATATTGCAGTTGACTGAATAATTAACATTCTATGCTTGTATTAGTCAATGCTAAGATCGGATTAAGATTGTGTGCTTTATACGGCTCTAATACAATAATAACAGTTATGTTTACAGTTTTTAGTTAGAGTTTCAGACATTAGGCAAACTGATTAAGTTGTTGCCTTTGCCCACTTCGCTTGTTAACTTTTGCACCTGCCACAGGTGTCGCTTGAAGTTTGGGACACAATGGAGCGCGTCTCTAATTTAATAATTCTTACACCTGCGACAGCTGCGCGTCAGTGTGGTATGTAATACAAGTAAATGTTGACTAAATGCCTTAGGTGCTCACTCTTCGCGAATCACGAACGAATCACGACTCACGGCCAGCTCACGAGTGCTGGCTGCCAGGTAAAATAACAGAAAGTTATTTAATGTCGCAACTCCCGACGACGGCGGCGACTGCAATTAACTCAAATTGATAATGACGACTAAAGTTTTGGGTGGCTTAAGGCAGGGGGCGTGGCTCAGTGTGTGCCTGTGCTGCCTGCTGGCTGTGACGTGATTTCATTTGCACTACGCCAAATGGCGACACATTTCGACACGTCCCGTAGCATGATTCTGTGTCGTAGGGCTCGGTTCAGTTCAGCTCCGTTTAGCTGAGTTCGGTTCGTTCGGCTGGGCTCTGCCCTTTGGCATAATTAAAATGAAATCATTTTCGACAAGTTGGCTGCTTTTGGCTCTTAACAGCTTTTTCGGCTAGCTATTTGCATTGCTCGATGGCACGTACCGCCAGTTAGAACGTATACGCGCCATATGATAATAAACTTCTGCGCAGTGGCTCCAACTTCAGCTCCAGATGTTGCTGCTGCTCCCACTTCAACTCTTGCCGTCTGTCTGTTGTTGTCTTGTTCGTGCTGGAATTTTTATTTAATTTGCTCAACTGTCGTCGTGTGCTGCTTGCTGTTGTCTTCTCTGTTTGCTGCATTGTTTGAAATTAATTTCACTTGTCGTTCCAACTTGCTCTCCTCGTCAACCTTGCCCGTGATAGCACTGTGCTCACGCTCTGTGCGTGCCGTTGTCAATGGCGCTTAGCTACGCATAGCTGAAGCGCCAGAGCCAAGGACAAAGTTGGCAGCAAGTCCTTGCGCTCGTCCTCACACCGATGCGCACTCAATCGTTTGGCCAAATCAGCGCGCTAATCATTCTGCCACAGACACAGAGGCAATGCATTTCGACTCGCCAGCAGACGCACTCACTCAATGGCATTCGGGGATGTCAACAGCTTGTCGCTGTTACCAGCTCCAGGCGGGGGCATGTGCCTCTCTTCATCGGCTTCTGCTCTTTTTTTTGCGTTCAGCCGGAAGTAGTAAACCCATAAATGTCATAGAGGAAGCGAGCGGCTTTGGCTGAACTGCCAACAGCAAGCAACTCGTCTAACTTATGTGGCATCCGCAGCATCCCTTCTCCAGAGACTTGTTGTGCTGCTGCTCGTCTGTTTTGTCATTAATCACCGACAATAATGAACTTCCGTCGTTTGTAGTTGCAAAATGGCGCCGACTTTTGGATTCGGACTTGCAACTGCTGCCAGCCAGCATCCGCCTCCTGCTCAACTCTCCTTCGCCTGAACCGCGCATTGGCGCGCTGTTGTCATTAGCGCAATGTTGCAAAATTTATCGTGTGACTTATGAGACGAACAGCTGGACAGACTGCTGCTGGCTACTGGCTGCTGGGCCAGACCAGGCCAAGAGTGCGACTCTGGTCTCTGTTTTGGTCGTGTGATTTTATCGCTTCGATTTACGACTCATAAAAATGCTAGCGACATCCAAACTGCTTATACCCCACACTAATTCTCTAGCTGCCCCACCACTCGCTCTCTCTTTCTATCTCTGTGTCGCTCTGTTGACTTTTTTCTGCATTTTTGGGAAAATTCTCAGCGATATTTTTGCCGTTTTCATGCTTGATTTCCCATGCCCCGTTCCCGCCTGTCTCCACCTCCCGCTCAGCTGCTGTCTGCAGGACAGTTTGTTGCATGAATGTCTCTATGTACATTTTATGGCCATTTAGTGAGCCAGAAAATGTTTGGATATTTCGCTCTCCATTTAGTCGCACCCAAATAGCGCCCTACAAATATTAAAGGGCACTAGCTCGAGTTGAGCTCAGGCTTATGAGAGCTAAATTCAAATTTCAAATTTCAAATTTATTAATTATAAATCGAATAAAATGAGCTTACAAAAAGAAACTATTAAGAAAATTAAAATAGCATTTGAAATAGAATAATTTTAACTATGAAAATTAAAAATCCAACACTAAAGTGAATTAACAAAGTCTTTTACTAGGCAAAAGAAGACCAGGAGTTAAAGGCGAATTCGCGAGTTGGAGCCTCTTCCAATATATGTGTATATTAAATGGATGTTTCCATACACAGCCACCGAGCATAAGAAGATTCTTCAACATGATTCAAACTTGGCAGCGTAATAAACCAATTTGTATATCGGTTTCCATTTAGAAACCCATCGAAAGCTGCTTTCAAGCTCAAACATCAATTTGCAGTGCAATTTGGGCTCAATACAAAAGCCATTTAAACAATATGTATCCTCTGGCTGGCTATGAGCGTGGAGCAGGCGCATGCTGCATTTGACAGTTATTAGATTAACACCTACACAGATAGACCCGGACACTTGAATGGATGTTCGGATGCTCGGATGTTCGATTACTCGATACTGCCTGAATTTTAGCAAACAATAAAGCTCTCAAAATGTATGCGAGCATACATAAAATCTTCGCCAGACAACGTTGATGGTGAAACAAAACAAAAGCTACTGATGGCTATGTCCAGTCCAATGACAATGACAATGACGTTGGCCCACGAGCAGCAACATGCGATGTCAATTTCAGACAAACAACCCGGCCATATGCAAAATGCCTCACATACATATATGGACTGAAGTGTGTGTGTGAGTGTGTGCAGGATATAGATACATAGCTTGTGTAACGCTCAAGATGTGTGACAGCCGCCCACCGATTTGGCCACCTGCCCCAATCCACTCGAATTGCTACATAAAAAGGCGCTTACGATGTGGTTGGGAAGTGGAGATTACAGAGCTGGAAGCTGGGGCGGCTGGTAGCTGGAGCTGGAGCTGAAGCTGGAGCTGAAGCTGGAGCTGGGGCTGCAGCTAGAGGTGGAGGTCAGTTGAAAGCTGTCAGTGGCTGTTTAGATTTACGTGCCGCAGTGCAGCAATGTCCGACGACAGTCGGATTCGTAGAGACAGAGACGGACGTATGGCCATCAAGAGGTGTGACAGCCAGCGAACCCTAAGCCAAACCCCAGTTGCACTTTGTAACAATGCAAAAACATACCCACACACACACACACACACACAGAGCAGCACACGAGCTGATTGTCATCGCTCTGACTTTTTGTTAATGAAAGTGTCAGCTAGACAAACGCACCCAAACCAAGGGACATCATTGAACCGGGTACTCCCCCATCTGTTTTAGGTCTCGTCCCCTTTTGTAATGGGCTTTGGTCAATAAATTATGATCAGGCCGATTTTTAGTATAGCTTTTGTCTGCTTCGAGCCTAACAGCATGTGCTCTTTCATGTCATTCAACTGGGTCCTGAACAGGATCGGCGCGCGCTTGCTTTTGCTTTACGTTGGCTCCACAACGAAAATAGTCAATAATTTGTTTAACCACGGTTAATTAACATCGAGTCGGGCAAGCTAATGGCTTGGCCCATCTAACAGCTTTTAAAGGCACAAAGATCGACGAGTCTCTTACTAGATAGACTACGATCTGTCCAGCTAACAGAAATAAAGATATGTTAACAGATACACATGCGGTTAACATTCAACTGCAGTTAACAGTCACTTAACAGCTCATAAGAAGTATGCATAATTTGAACCCAAGTGCCAAGCCATGTCAGCATGTGCTGGCCTCTGGGTAACTTCGATGGCGGCATATTAACACTTCAATTGGAACAATTAGCAAGCCAACAAAATGTGATATTGTCAGCTTGGCATCTCTGATGGTTGCCTTATGTCCCATTATCCTAATCGCTTCCAGCTCGATTGCCATGCCTTGGCCGGGTCGCCGTAATATAAAATCAGATAAATCGCGACGTGCATAAAAGTGAAAACCTGCGCGTGGGTAATTAAAAAAGTCAACGGCGGAGGTGGAGGTGGAGGTGGAGGCAGCTCACAGATGAAACCTAATTCGCATGTTGAATTTAAATTAATTAAGAACCAAGCAGCTGCAGACCGAGCAAGAGGCAGACAAAGAGGGGGCTAGATAGAGAAGACAGATAGATAGGCAAGTCACGTGTCTCTGTCGCACCCAGCAGAGACTAAAGTAGGTTAATGCGCTTAGAGAAGCGAGCGTAAAGTGGGCGAGCAGGCGTATGGCTGGGAGGCTGTGGAGCATTTCCTGCTGACGACGTAATTGGTGGCGTTACAAAATATTTACAGTTACCGTAACATGGAAATGGAAAAAGATGATAAAGTGCGCAAATGTTTGCACTTTCCCTTTATGACTCTTTAGAGACGTTTAGGTGTTGAGTGCCTCCCCTCCTGCTGCGACAGGGTCGATGGGGCGGCTGTCTGTTGACGTCTTGATAAGCAAATATTACAGTTACATATATAAATAAATAAATTTGAATGTTTTGTATATGTGTTCGAGTAATTTGTGGACAAACAGTCAAGTAGGCTGTGAGGCAACACTATATAGAACATAGATCCCTGGCATTCGCACAGTGTATCCCATCCAATCAACAATATTTTGGTCGCATTCTCAAAAAGTCTCGTTATATTTCAAACTAAAATAGTTTCTGTGCGCTTACTCATTACTCATACGTCTCTACAGCCAATATGCACGCTAATAAGTGTCCGGACATGCATGAGCGGGCCAAGCGTGTTCACGAGCCTGGCAGGATCTGTCGCGAGCTACTTTACTTGCGCTCCAAGCGGGTAGGTACAGGCTAGACATGTGATATATCGTCTAGCTCCAGCTGATCTCTTTACCCGCTCAGGCCGTACGTGAGGTGCCCGCCTTTACCTACCAGGCTCTGCAGAAGGGCACAGTAGTCAAGCCCCCCAAAAAGTAAGTTGGGTGCCACTTTGAATCGGTTTACAGCAGAGCATTTTCCATTACAGAATTGATATATTCAAACGTCAGCCCGTGAAGGAGACCGTCTTTAAGATCTACTTCATGCGCGGCGACATCCCTGTGGCTCTGACAGGACGCAGCAACAAGCAGGATCCCACCAAGGATCGCCCTTTGCGCTGGCACTGCACGCCCGAAGAGCTCGATTATTGCTACTATTTACCCATCTTTCTGGATGGATTGGCTGACATAGACAGCGATACACGCTTGCTGGCGGTCAATGCAGCCGTCGATCTGATCATGAGGCAGCCGCACAAGGTGCTCCCAGTGCTGCCCAAGCTAATACTTCCGCTCAAGCGCGCCTTTCAGACCCGCGACAAGGGTATCATCATATCAGCTCTCAAAGTGCTACAGCTGATGGTGCGACTGGGTTAGTTGCACTTACATCTCCTAATTATAATTCATTCAGTGTAATATCTGTTTCCTTTTAGGGCCTTGCGTTGGGCAAGCTCTAGTTCCCTTCTACCGTCAACTATTGGCCGTATGCAATCTATACAAGAATATCAATGTTAATTTGGGCGAAGGCGTCGACCCTGATCGCAGTAAGCGCATTGGCGATGTCATCGAAGACACTCTAAAGCTGCTTGAGTACTGTGGCGGACCGAATGCATTCATAAACATCAAGTACATGGTGCCCACCTATGAGAGCAGCGTCTTCCCACGCTGTCTGTCGACTGATGGCGCAGATGGCTCAAAGCATTGATTACTTCACAGTTCAATAAAACTTTTTATTTGCTTATTTTGGGTTCATTATGGTTAGACTAAAAGAAAATTAACGATGCAATAAAAAAACAACCTATAGTAAATTTTAATAAGGAGCTATAAGTAAACCAAGGTTAAAATTGAAAACCAATTTATTACAGATAAGTTATCTTACCACTATGTCGATAAGTGCAAACGGAAATATAAACTAATACTTAAACTTGGCAACATCTTATAATGATTGCGAAAATAGGATGGATGATTGAAAATAGGAGAATGCGCCATACAGCAAGTCGCTAATAAACTGATTTTATATGACCCATTTGTGTGGTATTTTTTCTAGTAGCTTAAATGATGATGGGAATAATGAGTCAGTGAGTAAGTCAGACTAAAAAAAGTAAGAAAGCTCTAGTCGGGGTGCCCGACTAGGAGATACCCTGATCCCAGTCCTTTGAGTTTTGTAATATTTTCCGTAGTTTGTATCGAGTATTAAAACAAAAAAAGAAAACAAATAAAAATCGACATTGCGAGACCAGGATTCGAACCCGGATTATTTGCGCAACGTGCACAAACTCTACCAACACCGCCACTTCATAACTAAAAAAAAAAAATAAAACAATAAAAAACATTTCATCTCCTCTAGTCTCGAACCCGGATCAAGCTACATGCGAGCGGCGCCTCTACCAACTCCGCCACTGTCCTTCTTTCGCAAGCTGTTGCAAATTTGAACATAAGTAGCAGCTAATAATTCAGCACAATTCAATCGCAATTTCAATTCTTGGAATAGAAAAGAATACACGCATTTGAATGTATGTGTGCACACGCATAGGAAAAATGCGTGCGCGTGGCGCTGCTGACATGTGCTTTTGCAAATTGGCCAAACGTTTTGTTTAATAACTTCTGTTTTACTTAATGGATTTTAATGAAATTTTCAGCATATGATCTACATATCCTATTGGCTTGGTTGAGATGCAAATGCCTTCACATAATGGCCCTAGTTCCAACTAAACTTAAATTCTAAGAATTTGGGGAAATTTGGAGCCGGTATCCAAAATCCAACAAAAATCAAAATTGCATAAAATATACATAAGACTAAATACAAAATTTGGAGGCTCTAGCTCTTAAGACGTTCGAGATATAATTTATTTACTGCATTTCAATAATGTTTTTATTCGATAACAATTAAATGCGAATAGTTATCGAATATTTGAAACAAACTTGACCTGTGCGTGCTATACACGGACCTACAAAAAAATTTCAAGTCTCTTGCTCTTATAGATGCTGAGATCCACGCGTTCACACATACGGACAGACGGACAGACGGACGGACAGACGGACGGACAGACAGACGGACTGGGCTCAATCGACTCGGCTTGTCGTCCTGATCAAGAATATATATACTTTATGGGGTCTGCCACGCCTCCTTCTGCCTGTTACATACATTTGCACAAAACCATTATACCCTGATTTCCCATTTTTAATGGGATCAGGGTATAACAACCTATAGTAAATTTTAATAAGAAGCTATAAGTAGGTTAAAATTGCAAACCAATTTATTACAGATAAGTTATCTTAACACTATGTCGATAAGTGCAAACAGAAATAGAAACTAATACTTAAACTTGGCAACATTTTATAATGATTGCGATTATTGTTAATAAAGAACCGATTGTGATTATTGAAAATAGGAGAATGGTATTATTTATAGTAGCTTAAATGATGATGGGAATAATGAGTCAGTGAGTAAGTCAGACTAAAACAAGTAAGAAAGCTCTAGTCGGGGTGCCCGACTAGGAGATACCCTGATCCCAGTCCTTTGAGTTTTGTAATATTTTCCGTAGTTTGTATCGAGTATTAAAAAAAAAAAGAAAACAAATAAAAATCGACATTGCGAGACCAGGATTCGAACCCGGATTATTTGCGCAACGTGCACAAACTCTACCAACACCGCCACTTCATAACTAAAAAAAAAAAATAAAACAATAAAAAACATTTCATCTCCTCTGGTCTCGAACCCGGATCAAGCTGCATACGAGCGGCGCCTCTACCAACGCAGCCAATGCCCTTCTTACGCGAGCTGTTGCAAATTTGAACATAAGTAGCAGCTAATAATTCAGCACAATTCAATCGCAATTTCAATTCTTGGAATAGAAAAGAATACACACACTTGAATGAATGTGTGCACACGCATAGGAAAAATGCGTGCGCGTGGCGCTGCTGACATGTGCTTTTGCAAATTGGCCAAACGTTTTGTTTAATAACTTCTGTTTTACTTAATGGATTTTAATGAAATTTTCAGCATATGATCTACATATCCTATTGGCTTGGTTGAGATACAAACGATTTCAACTAATGGCCCTAGTTCCAACTAAACTTAAATTCTAAGAATTTGGGGAAATTTGGAGCTGATATCCAAAATCCATCAAAAATCAAAATTGCATAAAATATACATAAAACTAAATACAAAATTTGGAGGCTCTAGCTCTTTAGACATTTGCACAAACAAAACATTATATATTGATTTCACATTTTCAATGCGATTAGTGCATAAAAATACTGCATGACTTCTTTGCCCTCGAGCTTATCAGGTAATCAATAATAATAATAAAAAAAAATTTCCTGTTATCAGTCTTGTTATGATTACTTATATACTTCACATTTTACGGCTCAATCGACTCGGCTTGTCGTCCTGATCAAGAATATATATACTTTATGGGGTCTGCCATGCCTCCTTCTGCCTGTTACATACATTTGCACAAAACCATTATACCCTGATTTCCCATTTTCAATGGGATCAGGGTATAAAAAAAATAAATTCCGATTCATATTTAAGCATTGAAAATTATTTTAAATTGACAATAAATGAATGCATATTACCAATTCCAAATTTAAGTCCAAAACCAAGTCATTGAGAAGCGTGTCTCAGATTAGCCTCTGGCTTAGGTGTTGTTAGGTATTGAGTTCCAATTCCAGTTTGAATATTTATTATATTTTCTTTTACTTCCATGTGGTGAACCCTGTTCAGAGCTTCATGCACACCCGTTTCTATAGAGCCCAAACTCGAGCCATCTGTTAGCGATTCTCGAAACGCGGATACAAAGAATGATAAATGCCTAATTAATTTTTAATTTTCCAAAACAAGCTTCTGCAACGTGCAGACACTTTTCAACAATGAAACGAGCGGCCGTAAATAAAAAGCTCATTACAATAAATCATAAAGTGTAAATTGTTCAATTCGCTGGCTGCTTTAATGGAATATCCATGTAGAGTGTTCACTGTCTGTCTGTCTGTCTGCCTGACTGGCAGCCACATTTGTCTAAGGAGGGTGTGTCACCACCCTCTCTATCAAGTATACGATCTCCCCAGTCTGGTTGGTACGGCTGTCTGCCTGTTAGCCCTGCCCGTATCTGGCCAAAATCGAGCAAGGGCCCACACACGCACTCCTGACTTCTGACTGCTTCCGACTGCCGGCACTTTTCACAGATCGAAGAACGAGGCGCGCTTTAAAATTAATTTAGTTAAATTGCCGCCTGACACTGAGACAGGGGCTTGTGGGGGATGTGGCTTCTGTGGCTGTGTTGCGCTTTTCAACGTAATTAAGTGCCGACCCTCCATAATTTTGAAAAACAAATCTTGTTATCAACGCGCAGCAACACGAAACACAGTTGTTGCCAGCCTGGTTGGTCCTGGCTGTTGCTGGTTGGTCAGCGCGTTGCCAGAGTCAGTTCTGGTGGTTTTGCCAACCCACCCGAATGGCTGGTTGTCTGCGTGGCTGGTTCGATTGTGATGCGTAGATAAAAACCTGCCAAGTGTTGCAACTCAATTTGCCCCCAACCTGTGGCAAGCCACCCTCCGATTGGTTGCTTCGTTCCACCACACAAATTCTTAATTCACTTTTTGGGTTCAGTTTTTTTTTTAATCTCCTGTTGACGGTAAATCAAACAGTCCCCCTGGGTGCAGCAGCACCACCACTTGAAGACCCACCCGCCATATAAATTGCATTTGGCTGCTTGTGAATTTTCGTTTTCATTTTCATTTTCATTTTGATTTTCATTTTTATTGCGCTGCTTCCAACGGCGTTAAAACGTTTTGACATTTTTACGCAGTTTTTTTTTTTGGATCATTTTTATTGCGTGAATGTGTCTTCCATCAAGGAAGGCAGCAAAGGGTTCGCCGCGGGGCGCTAAACTCTGATTTAGGTGGAAAATTGAAAAGCTGTTGGCCAATTCTGCGTAGATATCGGGCCGACTAAGAGTCTTAGCTTTTGGTATTAAATCTGAGCAGATTTGCTGCTGGCAAGTCCCAAGCTCACATAGGTTGGCTTGGTCCAATGCCCAGGGGAGCATTTCCGTCACACACACCCACCACCAGCATCACTCACCACTGACATATTCATATGCATTAAGTCATGACCATGTCCAGTGCCCAAGCTGTGGTGGCTGTTCCACTGGAAATTGCTTAAATATACCGGAAATTGCAGGAGAGTTGCATAAATTGACACGAAACGCCCCGTGGGCACAATTCAGTGTAATGAGCCCCAAACAGTGGCAGGGGCAAGCGTGCCATCTGGACGACTCCAATTGAGTTGGCAACTGAACTAAGACTTACAAAGTGCGCTCCTCCTTTTATATACACCTCGATCAGTCTTCGGCAAAGCACCAAATTGACTATTAGTATAAAGATAAGCATAAGCATAAGATAAGATAAGCATAAGATAAGATAAGCATAAGATAAGATAAGCATAAGATAAGATAAGCATAAGATAAGATAAGCATTTATTTATAAATTATTTCATATTATGAGTAAAGAGTATTCCCGACTAGAGATCGTTTAGTGAGGGATTATAGTAATGCTCACTCTTAGACTTTTCGAAAACAACTCCATACGTATTATACTTATTAATACCCTAATATATTTCTATATATCCCAATATATACAAATTTTTATGTTTCTATATATATATATAACTAATATATAACTATTCTATCGATCTACCTAACTACCTATCTATCTACTTATCTATCTACTTATCTATCTATCTATCTATCTATCT